TCCCAATGGCCATGTGATCTTGGGGATGAAGAATGCATAGTGCATAATGCCTCTGCTAAGCACTCACATTTGCCTGCTGCTTACATACACACATAACATACACACATAATACAAACGAATGTTGGTGTACTCCTGATGCCCAAACGCAAACTGCTGGCACTGAACTGGCAAAGCGTCATTAAAATTAAGTGTCATTGAAAACACACAGGCCACCCAACCCACCTCAAATGTGTCCATGGCTTTGAGGTTATGCATGTGTGTCATCCACACATCAATCTGACTGGACTCAAAATGGGGATCAGAAGATGCAACAATGTGAAATTTAGACTGGCTGCTTGACTCCAAACGTCTAATATAGTAAGGGAAGCTGTGTGGCTGTCTATGTCTGCCTCGACTTCTCATACATATCTATTCTACTTGGCTTGCAAAAAATGCATTAGAGAATGTTAGCTGCAAGTATTTGGGCAGCCTGCATAACTCACAGAAAGGGATTAGAAGCATAGCAGTGATTATGTGAGCACACACCTCTCCCCTTGGTTTGCATGTGCAGAAGGAAACTTCAGAACCTGGACTGCCGTATGAATCTTGCAGAGTTTTAAAAGGCAGTAATTTTTGGTTTTTTGAAACAATACCTCTTAAAATACAATGAATCCATCATACTTCCTGAAAATATTCTGAAAATTAATACAAGAAAAAACAAGAATTCAACTGCAAATTCAGGAAATTAAATATTTTTATTTAATTACCCAATGAGCTGAGAATAGCATATCCTCTTTTACTCCACAACAATCCTATGAAGTAGATTAAGCCATGAGAAAGCAACTTGCCTATGGAAAAACTAGCTGGCTTCTCTGTTGAACAGGTTTGGACCTGTGCACTGCTTGACACCATCTGTTTACCACACTGACTGGACATTATCAAACCACAGCACACCATAGCTGAAATCTTGTTGTTGTGTCTACATCTGCAGAAATGTGAGGACATAATGGGCAGGGGTAGATTTTTCAGTAATTAAATTAGTTATGTCTTGTGGCTTTTGACTTCCATGTAATCCCTTTAAATTGCATGGAAGCCTTGGGAGCTGCAGGAAGGAAGGAGGAAGTCTTTAATTACCAAATATTGTTGCCCCTAGATGATGTTACCAGTAGCAGCAGTTTTTAAGTAATGAAAGACTTTCTCCCTCCATTCCACGCTATTTTTGTGCCTCGATGTTTTAGTATAATTACCAAATATTAGTATAATTAATTACCAAATATTGTTGCCCCTAAATGATTTTACCAGTAGCAGGAGTTTTTAAGTAATGAAAGACTTTCTCCTTCCATTCCATAGTTCTCAAATCAAGAAAGGGATCATTCAGGAGTCAGTAAAGCCATGGGACAGAAATAGGAAGTTTTCAATTACCATAAATCTCCCCTACCAATGATATCATCATCCTTCAGCAGGCATGAGTTACACAACAGCATTTCACCCAATTTTTATTAATTATGTAAATCTGCTTTATGTATTAGAGTCCTTGTTTAACAGATCTGAACCCAAATAATCCCCAAAAGTATGTACATATGTATACCACCAGGGGTAGTGATGTGATCTACTTCATAGGAACAAATCTTCTACCCAATGGGTTGTCACAACAAAAAATGGAAAAAAAAACAATTGTTGCTCTACATAGGCTATAAGAAGATTGCCAAAACCCTCAAACTGAGCTGCAGCATGGTGGACAAGATGGTTTAACAGGGCAGGTTCCACTCAGATCAGGCCTTGCCATGGTCAACCAAAGAGGTTGAGTGCCCGTGCTCAGCATCCTATCCAGACGCTGGCTTTGGGAAATAGACATATGAGTGCTGCCAGCATTGATGCAGAAGCTGAAGGGGTGGGGGTGGCGTCAGCCTGTCAGTGCTCAGATATACGCCGCACACTGCAAATTGGTCTCCAGGGCTGTTATCCCAGAAGGAAGCCTCTTCTAAAGATGATGCACAAGAAAGCCCACATATGGTTTGCTGCAGACAAGAAGACTAAGGACATGGATTTCTGGAACATGTCCTGTAGTCTAATGATAAACCAAGATAAACTGTAAGGAGTATAAAGCGAAGTGTGTTGTGCCTACAGTCAAGCATGGTGGTGGGAGTGTCATTGTCTGGGGCTACATGAGTGCTGCTGGCACTGGGGAGCTACAGTTCGTTGAGGGAACCATGAATGGCAACATGTCCTGTGACATTCAGGAGCAGAGCACGATCCCCTCCCTTCTGAGACTGGGCCGCAGGGCAGTATTCCAACATGGTAACAACCCCAAACACACCTCCAAAACAACCACTGCCTTGCTAAAGAAGCCGAGGGTAAAGGTGATGGGCTGGCCAAGCGTGTCTCCAGACCTAAACCCTATTGACTATCTGTGAGTCATTCCTGAAATGGAAGGTGGTGCTCAAGGTCTCTAACATCCACCAGCTCTGTGATGTCGTCATGGAGGAGTGGAAGAGGACTCCAGTGGCAACCTGTGAAGCTCTGGTGAACTCTACGGATGTTTTCGCATATGCGGGGCACCACTGTACTGTATTATTCTAAGAGAAATTGTGAGGGGGTTTTCCTGCCCATTTTGCAGAATCTGTCCAGCTAAATCTTCCACCATTCATTTTATGGTAGCAACTATTCCCCTTCTTCTGCTCCCCACCACACAATGCTCTGGAATAGGCCTAGTGCCAAAGCATTGTGAAGAATGCAAGATGATGGCTAAGCCCGAGATACAGTTCTCGCTGCTACACTAACCGTCCATATGTACATCCACAACCCCACGCACCAATGCTGGCACAAGCTGCCCTACCCACTGAGGCCTGTGCCCCTGCCTTCCTCCCACTGCACAGAAACATTTATGGGGAGGGGGGCTGTGATTTAAATAACAGAGGATGGTGGTGGTGGTGGTGATGGCAACAGCTCTGGCAGGTTGTTCTGAATTGCCACTGGTTGCCCAGTTGCCTCTGGAATATGGCTGTCGTTCAACCAGGTCTTCAAGGCCAAGGTGCTAGCGATGGCCTCCTCTCCTGCAATCCCTGGGCCTCAATGATGCAGGTCTTAGGCAATCAGCCAACTGTGCTCTGAAGGTGAACAGGCAGCCCACAGCAGTTCAGAATAACCCGCCCCACTGCTGCTGCCACCCGAACTGTCCTCTTCTTCCTTGCCTCCACCTTCCTCCAGTAAGTGTTCCTGTTTGATAGTGGGAGCTCAGGTACCGCCCAAGCCGACCTCCTCCCTCTCATTATGGACTGCCTTGCCTGACTATGACATCTCTCTCTTTCTTTCCTTCCCTCCCTCCTTCTCTTTAAGAAAACAAGAAACTGCTGTTGTCACAGCTTATGCTGGTGTCCCTTACCTTTCTTGATCTATAAACTAGGTGGAGAATTTTGAGAGGCCATTTGGACACTGCTCAGTCCCTACCTTTACCTGTAGTTGATCGTTGCTCCTGACAACATTCATACCTTCACTGAAACACTACATGAGATTGAAATCCATCGAACCGTGAAGCAGTGACGTAAACAGAGAGTTCCTGGGTCAAGGCCCCTTTCTTTGATGTGCTTCCATAAAAAGCCGTCATGAATATGCTGGCTGGAATGTCATCCTCTTCACTTCCAGAAGAAGTAACGTTGTTCCAGGAAAAACAATACCTGGTTAATTTTCTTCTGTGAACAAAAGAAGAATTTGCATACTGTTTGCTTTTTAAAGAACTGCATATTGTGCCCAGGCATAGAAGTCTATATCCTGAAGTGATGCCAGTCCCCTAAAGCTGCAGGATGTCTTCACAGCCTCCCACAAATCTTTTTGTCACCAGACAGAAAACACTTTGTCAAGTTTTTCTAGCTCAGCATTAAAACATAGAGGGTGTGTTGTTGGCCCCTTCCTGCCTAAATGCAAAGCAAAACAAAGCAAAACTGCTGAGTGGTTCCCTTGTTAGCATAGTCTTCTCAAGGCAAAATGCAGGTCTTGGTTCTCAAATTGGCTGAAAGGTGTAGTCAGCTTCCCTACCTAACCTTCTTCTCCCAGGAATTAGCTTTAATTTCTCATGGCCAAGTGCCAAGAAGACTCTCAAAACCAGGGCAGCAAAGATCTGTAACAATAGTATTCAAAACCAATGTGCATCTTCAACAGTATCACTGACACACCCAAATCAACTTGTTCTTGCAGTAGAGAGAGAGAGCTGAGTGAGGCAACAATGCCAGCATACTTGGAAATATCCATCATGAAAATGCACAGTCCTGCTGAGAATTTTCAATAAATATGAGGCTCTTTATGTTTAAAATATATATGTTTTTTTAAGTTTAAAAGGACTTAGCATGGTGCCAATGTTCTACAAAACTTTACTGTTATATGTCCTGATTATTATTTTCTAAAGCACATCCCAAAGAGTTTTTAAAAAAGAAAAGACTCCGGCCTTTAGAATTTTAGAAACATATCAAAATACAACTATTTAAGCTTCTCGTCTCATGGTACTGGTCACATTGATCTTTAAACGTGTCAGCAGTTTCTATTACGGGAGTAAGAGTGTGATGTTGACATGGATTTTGAGTGAAAACTGGGGTCAAAGATTAAACAAAATCTGGACTATTTTTCAAAGCAAAAATGCAGGCCATCTAAAACTTTTGTCAGAAAAGTGTGTGTATATATTGGTAGGAAGGGAAATACCTGCGTAAATAGCAGAAGAATGCCTGTCCTTTTCATTCCAGCTCTGACTCTTGAACTACTGTATATGCTATTTTAAAAATTTTCATATAGGAACAATTACAGCAAAGATGAAAGAAACAACTGAAGCCCTAGTTGAGGGTCACATGTTCCCCATTCTTAATTGAGAAATGTATCAACAAGAACAAATGCCACATGAAAAAATTCCTTAGATTAAAAAAAGAAGCTTCATTTTTCTATCAGAAGAATATAAAATGAAACAGAAGTGCACGGAGCCTAGCAAAAATATTCAAGCTATCCAAAAAGCAACTTTGTAAAAATACGATTTCCCTTCCCACAATTATTTGTCTACTTCATACATTTCAAACACTGAAAACCAGGGCAGTAATGATAAATAATTACATGCCATCAAATGAATTAGTCCAACTTACGACAATCCTTTCAGGATTTTCTAAGTAGAAATGATTCAAAGGCAGTTTCCCAATCTCTCCTTCATCTCAGAAAAAGGCATATACTTTATTATTATTATTATTTTTTGCTTGCAGCTGACCAGTTAAAAATGCTATGCAACCATCATTACTGATCAATGGGAGAAGTATGACCTCCACATGTGAGGTATGGGAGGAGAAAGGAAAGAAGCTTGGAGTGTGCAGTGTGACTCCCTAACAAACATAAATGCATTCATCTTCCGCAGAGCCATCACAGAGAACAGGAAACTAAACTTCTCATGGACTGTATTCCCTAAAAGGAAACACAGGTACAAACTATTGTAAAAGATCTTATTTTTTTAAAAAAATCAAAACCTTAAACTGAGATCACCTCATGCTGAGCTAGACAATATATAATGTGCACCATTATAAGTGGAGCTCCTCTAAAAGGGAATATACATCTATTTACTCTAACATGAACATGTCTCGCCATACATGTTGCAAATCACCTTTGTTTTCTTTGGTGGCTGCTTGTTGATAAGTAAACATGAGCTTCATTTGTGAGGCACACTGCTTGACATGGAACTTTGAAGGAACCATGTTATCTAGAGAGGAAATGTTTTTAATAGCTGGAAATTTATATTTATATTTACCTTAACATGTGCAATTAAGGCATACAGGGACTCAAAGAAGCAGCACTGGCTCTTTTTTAAAATCACCAATTTGGGAAAGTAACATGGTATGTCAGCTAGGCTGGATCACAGGTGAGGGGGAGAGACTTCTTAAGAACAGTGTGGAGCTGCCCTTACATTCTTCTGCAATACAGGGATGAGGAACATTTCATCCTCCAGATTTTTTGGCCTACAAAGAAAGGTAAGGACAGCCAGATCTATGACATCAACACACATGGAGAAATTTGCTGCAATGCCATAACTCTTGAACCCATTTGTCTCACCTTGTCCATAACTTTGAAATTTTTGCACTAAGGTAATGGTGTGTTCTTGCTGATTAATAAACTCCCACGATTTATGTATGTGTAGTTAAGCCTATGTGAGACAACATGGCTTGTGCTGGCTCAGAAAGTAGCTAGTCTGGTTTTCTGATAATTTCAGAACAATAAAGTGAACAAAACAGGAGGAAAAAGACTAAGAAAACCAGCAGGTTTGCATTAATTCTGAATGTGTGGCAAGGCACTGTTATTAGCAGATGTGCTGACAGACTTCCCATCGATTTTATTATGAAGTACCACTGAAAAAAAAGCTTTATCACTACACTCCAGGCAGTGGTAAAGCTGCATTCACCAACCTGGTCACCTCCTCACTGGGCGCAGAATAGCCCCACAGGAACACTGCAATGTCAAAATGTAGTATCATCCATAAGGCAGCTATTAGGAGGGAAGAAAAGTGACGGCTCTCTCCATTGGCTAAGCAACTCTCCAGACAAATACAGTGGTGCCCCTCAGGATAATTTTAAGTCGATTCATGGAAATCACTGTCTTGTGAAAACATTGTCTTGTGAAACCTCCACTGGCATGCATTGAAATCCATTTAATGCATTCCAATTGGGAAAAAAACTGAAAATATCGTCTCACAAAACACAGTTCCCCATACCACATTGGGAAAAAGCAATCCCCTCACCTGCACTGCCTTTAGAAATTCAATGGGTCTCAGATAGCCTTCCCCCTCTTTCTCTCTCCAGCAACAAAGAAAGAGGGTAAAAGGAGTCAAAGCAGCCCCCTGGCTCTTGATAATGGTGACTCCTTTTTGCCCTGTTCCTTTTCCACTGGGGAGAAAAAGGATACAAAAAGTCACTAAGATTTCCAACCTTTGCAATAAATCTTAATGAGAAAGAGAAATGAAAAGGAATATAGAAAAATCAGAGAAGTCACAAGTGCAATCTTCTATTAACACAAATTACACAGTTGAGTTCCTTATATTTAGGGAAATCATAGGAATCAGCAGCACTCCCAAAGTGCAATGAATGAACCTCCATTGGGAAAACCACTTTTATGACATGGCATTTCCCCTACAAGGTATGAATCAGAAAGGCCCTTTCACCTCCTACCCCATTCTGTCCCCTGACCCCCTAAGTCATGGTGACCCCTGGCTGCCCACAGGAACACTGCAATGTCAAAATGTAGCATCAGTACAGGGCTGCACAGCCCCAATCCTGCCAGAGGCCAAGATGTGATGCTAACATATAGCATTAGCATATGCTAATACCTGTGCACTAGAGGATTGTGGGAGGAACACCTAGCCCCTGATGGGGGTCCCACAGGGCACCCCAAAACACTGAGAGCTCTCTTGGCCTCTGGCAGAACTGGAGCTATGTAGCCCTATACTGAATGGGAGGTACAGCCAGGGGGTCACCATGACTTGGGGGGTCAGGGGACAAAATGGGGTAGGAGGTGAAAGGGCCATTCCAACTCATATCTTGCAGTACAAATACCATGTTGTAAAAATAATTTTTTCAGGTGGAGGGTCATCCATTGCATTTTGATGTGTTGTTGATCCCTGTGATTTCCCTAAATGTGGGGAACTTAACTGTGTAATTTGTGTTAATGAGGGCATTATGTTTATGATTTTAGTTTTTTTTATAATCTCTTTACCCTTTGATTCTTATCTATTTTCACCATCTTCTACCATTTGAATTTGTAGCCATAGCCCCACTGGTGATGCTTTGTAAGATGGGTTTTTCCCCCCCATTGAAATACATTAATTACATAAGGCCTACTTTTTTATCCCAAAAAAAGTGGGGGAGAAAGCATATGCTGTTGTTTTTCTAGGAAGCAGACCCTGGAAAGCTAGCAGCATACACTTTCTCCAAAAAGTACTGTAGGTCTTATGTAATTCCAATGGGGGGGGGGAAACTGTCTTGCAGAACAGGGTCCAAAAAAACTATCTTGCGAGCATCCTGCGAGGCAATCTAGTGTTTCTGACAAATTGGAACTAAGTCTGAGAGTCAAACGTCTTACTGAAGTCCATATCTCCTGGAGTGTCTGCAGCCCAGATGCAATTTGTGCTCTGGAATCCCTGCTGACAGGACACTTTCTGGTGCCTCTGAAATGATAATAATAAAAATAATAATAGTGAAAAGCAACATTAATGACCATATGAGTATTTAAAACGTGTGTGAACACAGCTGAAGCACATTTCAGTCAATGGAAGCAAAGTATTAAACTCTATCCTGTGCGCAATCTAAAACATTAACACAAACACACCAGCATTTCAAAAATAAGAAGAGAAAGGAATGGATCTTGTTATGTAAAGTAACAATGCCCTGATGGAACCAGGCACATACTGGAAAGGAGAAGATTTTGACGGTGGACCTGACAGATCTGCCCATCTTTGAGGAGCAATGGCCCCAGACTGGTATTGCAGGAGGCATTTGGCCCAGCACTACCCATTGCAGGGTGGGATCCTGTTTGCTCTACACTCACACAACTAACATTGCCTGAACAACTGGAGTTTTTCAGTGATTGTGCAAGGGGATATCCAGTTATCCACTGTCCCCCAAAGAGACATTTTTTTTCAAAAGCTCACAGAATTTGATCATAATCCCATGGAACTTGAACCTTCTACATACAGATTTTGCAAACATTTATTTTGAGAGGTACCCTGCAGGACACAACATAACAGTGACCAAAGCTGAACCCCATGTGGTATAAGGATTAGGACACTGAGCAGGTTTCAAACATTGGGAGTTCCAGGTTCCAGTACGCACTGAGCCACGGGACTCAGTAGATGACCTTGTTGGTTTGGTTTAAAAAATTATACAATGTAACTAACAGAATTTTGCACAGGAATTTCAAGCGTTATGATAAAACACACACACACACAGTGAAAATTGTATTCTCCCTTCTGTGTGTATACTAGCAATTGAAAGAAAATAAAATGATCACTTGGTCTTTGTCAAAAACATTAAAGACCTTTTAAAACACATGTAGAATAGAATAAACTCACCGTGTTTTGACATTTTGGTGCTTTATACATGTGCTTGTACTTACTTACTTACCTACTTACTTATTTGATTTTTATACCCCCTATCCGGCAGCCAAGGCACTTTGGGCGGTTTACAACAAGGAAAGCAATAGCAAAAGATGGAATAAACAAAAGTATACAACTGTTACCATTAGTCAATAAATAGGTACCACCTCAGTGGGAAGGTCACGGCGTTCTGTGTCTAGTCGCGCTGGCCATGTGACCACAGAAAAACTGTCTACGGACAAATGCTGGCTCTACGGCTTGGAAACGGGGATGAGCACCACCCCCTATAGTTGGACACGACTGGACTAAATGTCAAGGGGAACCTTTACCTTTTACTGTACGAGCCCTCGACTCCTAGAATATGCCCAGATTCCCTGGTCTTCCCAGATGATTCCCTCATGTAAGTACAGTGGTGCCTCGCATTACGACGTTAATTCGTTCCAGTGAAATCGCTATAGAACGAAAATGTCGTAATGCGAAATTAAAAAGCCCATAGAAATGCATTAAAACCCGATTAATGTGTTCCTAGGGGCTTGAAACTCACCGTCCAGCGAAGATCCTCCATAGGGCGGCCATTTTCGCTGCCTGTACAGCGAGGAATCCGTCCCAGAAAAGAATGGGGAGCATTTTTTTAACCCAGCGGCCATTTTGAAACCGCCGATCAGCTGTTTTAAAATCGTCATTTTGCGAGAATCAATTCCTGAAGCAGGGAACCGATCATCGCAAGCGAAATTCCCCCATTGAAACCATCGTAAAGCGATCGCTTTTGCGATCGCAAAAAGTTCGTTGTAATGCGGTTTCGTCATTAAACGAGTGATCGGAAAGCGAGGCACCACTGTGTATCTATCTGGCTGACACCAGACAGATTCTGATTGGTCAGAATGCCTCGCTATGGAAATATGCAAATTCTATTCCTTCCTGTACATTTACATATATGTGCTGTGCTGCAGAATCATATCTTCCAAGAGACTTTGGGTGAGCCACTCTTTCTTAACTCGACCCACCTCAGAGGGCTGTCGTGAAGAGAAAATGATGATGGGAATAAAGTCATAGTTTACCTTCAAAGAATTGGGGGGGGGAGTGAGATGCAAATGAAACGATGATGAGAAAGACAAACAAACAGTATAATCCTACATTAGTTTACTCTGAAGTTAAGTCCTGTTCAGTTTAATGAGGCATACACCTTAGCAGGGTGAGGAAGGGGTGGGTCAGGTGACTTACAGGCCAGGCCTCTTCTTGATCATCCTTCCAATTTCTGGTTTGCTATCTGAGCAGGCCAGGATGACCAGATCCAGTTATTGCCATCACCTGTTCTTTCCAGGATTATGGGAGTGGTGTTTTTCATTAGCAGCTCATGGATGCCACCTCTTTGGAGTTGCTGCTGTAATCAGAAAGCTGAGTAAACATTCACTTCGTGGGGCAGAAAGAGAAAATTGGTCTCAGAAACCAAATCAAAGGCTAATCTAATCCCCAAACAGCCCATTTGTCTCAAAAACAGAGATCTGGGTCTCTCAAGCCACTCTTGACATTGAAATGAAGTCAGTTCCTTTCAGCAGGGGCTAAGGATGAATTGAACCTTGCATCACAAAGTTAATTAAAAGAGTAATCTAAACAAAACAAGTGCTTGATGAGAGTCCAGCAGTATACAAAAGACATCCTTATCCACTCTGATACCAGAAGAGAAAGCGACTGACACACAGAACTAATTAGAGAACAAGGCACTGAAACTACTCTGGTCCTCAAAGCGCTGGGACTCCTAAGAGGGAAGTTTAGCCTGTTTCTAGGGAACATTCCAAAGACGTGGCTTGAGGCAAGCCTGGGAGACGGGAATCTGCTTGCTGAGACTCCCCGAGAGCCGAAAAGTCCAACAGATGGATCTGATCACACTGTTGCTTACATCCGTATTATCTACAGTTACGTCAGGGACAAAATGTGTAGCATATATAGCCCATGTCAAGAAGAAGGAGTTCCTCAATTGCTGATTATGTGCCACGGTCATGGGAGGAGCTTCTCCCACATCCTGTAATTTGTAAATCAGCTTGCTTTGTTTGGTGATTTGTATTTGGGACTCAAGTACCTTTTTCCTTTGCAAGTCTAATTTCTCAGTCACAAGACAGCCTCAACGACATCTCTTGTCTGCAAAGGTGATTTCAGCTTCCTTGACGGGTAAGTCTATAACATCAAGCTTAGCCCTCAATTTATACACTGACGGACACAGCACTCCTTACACCCAAGGAGATGGCACTCTCACTGAGTGGAAGCCTAAGCAAAGAGACTGGCCGGGGGGGTGGGGGGTGTTGTTGTTTTCCAAAAGAGATGTGAGAAAGAGAAAGGAAATCTAGGTTGAATATACGCAGATGCCAGTAAAGGTGTTTGGGCTTGGCCTAGGTGGACAGGAGTCTTGGGCCAAAAGATTCAAAGCGGAAAGAATATAGGAAACAATTTCTTCCAGGTCAGATAATTGGACACCAAGGGCGCAAAAACGCTGCGCCCGGCCCTTTCGGCTGTTCCGGCGGCCATTTTGAAGCCGCGGAACAGCTGATCAGCTGAACAATTTCTTCCAGGTCAGATAATTGGATTGGGCAAGTCACTAGCGACTGTGGCAGTTGTCCAGCATTCTTTCCAACCAAATCCATTAAAGCTGGGGGTCTGAACTTGGGCCTTCTGCATACTAAGTGTGCTGAACGTATGTGTAAGACATGCATTCAACCACTGAGCTGCACCCCCTCCTACTGAGTATGTTCTGAGGAAGGAACTGGGAAGTGGGAAGGGGGGGAGCAGTATACCTACAAAGGCTCCCCAGTTCACTTCAATGAAGTTCAAGGGCTTCAACAGTTGAGCTCTAGATGCTCCCCATTCATTTCAGTGGATAGTGGGTTCAATGCACTCCATGCCTGGGCTACAGAACTTCCCATAAATATGTTCTGAGGTAAGAATTGTAGCAGCAAAAAGGGAAGTAGGAGTTTACCTCCATCAGCTTCCCCAAATTACTTCATGGAGAGTGAGCTCCACACACACAAAATGTACAGAGTTAGGAGACTCTTGGCTGAAGTGAATGAGGAAAGCAGGTTCTGTTCTGGAAATTATTATAAAGCTTACCTTACTTTCCTTGGAGATATTTCAGTTTAAACAAATATATTGATCTGTAATGCTGAAATAACACAAGAGCATTACTACATGTGAGAAAATATGAAATAAATAAATAAATACAATAAAAGAGAGTAACGAGAACACAAGGCCTCCAAGAACTCCAGCGGTGCCATCAGGGCAAAGCTTTGGGGCAGACACGTAGGGGTCCACTCAGGAGAAAGAGGAGGAGGGCAGCCAAAGGCGAAGTAAAGAACATGACAATGGGAGACTGAGGCTGAAATTATCGACCTGTTTTACTGGCTACAATAACATTAAATATACCGTATTGTAAAGTTCCAGCTTCTCACACTTGCTGAACAAACTAGCATCACAATACTTTCTGGCATCTGTGGAGACTGTAACTTCCAACCTCTCTTTCTTTCTTTCTTTCTTTCTTTCTTTCTTTCTTTCTTTCTTTCTTTCTTTTCTTTCTTTCTTTCTTATACAATGTGTGAGGTTCTATCTTCTCAGGCAATTGTGGATCTGTTGACTCTTCTTTGAAACCCAATAAAGGCAACCGACTAACTGGTTCCTAAACCTCAACATTTACTTCAGGAAGACCCAAAAAACTGTTAATGTCAACTGTGATGTTTAACATCTCTTTGCATAATGGTGGCACAAAGGGGTTAACGGCTTGTTTCAAGAAAGGGTTAGAATCAAAGATTAAAATAAAAGGATTCAAACGTCTATCTGTGTCTGTGACAATCTCTCATCTCAAGTCCCATTGCCTCTGGCAGCTTGTGCGAGGGGTCACTCCTGAGAGTTTTCTGTCCTGAACCTTCTTCCTTGGGGTTCACTGCCGGACACCCTCTCCCAGAGGTCGCTCCGTCTTTCCTTCTCTCTCCTGTGCTGGGCTAGCTTGGCTCGTTCTTCCCTAATTTTCTTACTCCACTCCCTTGTCTCCTCTTCTCCCCAATAGGAGGGTTTCTCCGGTCTTACTTCTCTCCTTCTCCTGCCTCCTCGTGGGGGATCATCAACTTCTCCCACTGCTTATTCCATGGACCCTCCATCCATATCCACTCCCAGCTGGGAGGGAGGTAAAACTCTTCCCCCCCCCTCAGCCTCTCCTTTCTCGACTTCTCTCCTTATATAGCTTCACTCCCCCTTCTTGTCTATTTTGTCTAATGATCTGTCAAAGTTCTTTTCCAATTTAACCTCTACTTCCTCTACCTTCCACCCTAATTTCCTGCAATGGGCTTCCCACCATTTCTCCTTGAACTTCAGCCTCAGTCTGAACCCGACTCCTTGTTTCCAGGTTTCCCTTCCCTTCCCTGGTCCCGGCTTTTGGCCCGCCAAAGGGGTCTCACTCCATCTTCCTCTGTGACTCTTCCCATCTCTCTCTCATCCTGGGTCACCACTTTCCTGGCGGGCCATCCAGTTCCCCTCAGGGGCTCCGTGGATTTCTCCTGCCTGCCTCCCATCAGGCAAGGCTTGGGATGGGTTCGGACCCACCTTCTTCCTCACTTGCCAAGGGCCACTCTGGGCAGTTTGCAACAACACTTACAATAAAAGCAGTAACTAAAAGGCCAATTTGATAGAACAGAAAAAATACAAATAATAAAATCCGAATAAATAATGTGATCTGAAAGCATGAAAATAAATTTACATAAGGAAACATTTAAAACGGCAAGACTGATCAAATTAAGGCTAGATAAGGTCTTACTCGACACATGAAAAAAACGCCCTACATTTGGTTAAACAAGAAACATGCCACGGCCTCCCAGTTTAAAAAAAAAGGGGGGGGGAAGCACGCATGTCTATGGAACGTGCCAATTTTTGAGGCACAACGTGCCTTTTCTTCCCTGCACAAGAATGACTTTCACCCTTGTTGTGAAACTGAACACAGCCCCCTGTTCAGGAATTTAACTTTGTGTTGTCATCCTCGTCCTTGTTCCCGCTACTACTGCTGCTGCTGCTACAACAACACAGACACGCCCCTTTCGCATCTCTGCTTGAAAGCAAGCTCTCGGAGCAGCCACGAGGCACAGGAGCGGCGGCACCGACGACGCGCACCGGAGACGGGAGACGGG